GAGGGACATTAAAAAAAGGCATGGATGCACCAACCGGCACACACACACACACAAACATATGCACAGTCAACAGAGTTCGACTATTTGTGAGTCTTTACTAGTATGCACAAGTCCCTGCCAAAGTGAGAGCCTCTTCCAACTCGTCAACAAGAGAGAGAGGAGGAGGAGGAGGAGGAGGAGGAGGAGGAGGAGGAGGGAGGAAAGCAGCTCCTTTCAAACACACATAAGTCCTGCAGATGTTAGCAAATTCAGCGCAAGCACTCACATCTTTTAAGGGGAGGGAGAAGGGGGAAAAAATGGGGTGTATTTTGTGTGAGAAAAAAAAAAGAAATATATATCCTTTCCCTTCATTCTTTCCAGCTGCCTGAGCGGGAAATATAATGCCACTGTTCTCAGCCTAATTCAAGGCACTGTGGTAATGACAGGCAGCATCTTTGACCATGCTAGCAGAGAGAAGTGGCAAGAGGAGAGCAATGTAGAGAGGAACAGACAAAAACAACACGGGGGGGGAGCATGTGTGTGAATGTGTGTGTATCTACTGGTGTGTGTGTGCGCCTACATGGGGACAAAACAGGAGTTCATGCGTGTACACAGATGGATTCAGGGTAAAAAAAAAAAGGGGGGGGGTGTAGTGGTGGTGGTTTGCTGTTGTGCTTTCAGTGGACCAGCAGCCCCTGCCCCCTGCCTTCTGTAGAGTCCATTAGTGATTGCATAATGCTTGGCAGACAGGGTCCGAGTGAATGCACCCCCTGAAGGGTCGGACACCAGTGAGGAGGTGGGTTGCTCTGCAGCGCAAGAAACTCGATGTTCCCATGTGTGTCAGTGGTAGATTTATTAGAGAGATTAAAAAACGAAAGATTGCTGTGGCTTTTTTCACAGTCAGACATAACATAGGCAGTTTAATACAGAGGAGCTGGTTGTGTCTTCAGTTTGAGGAATTCTAGGTTAATGCAAAATAAAAGAGCATCATTAAATATACAGCAGGAGACGCTGCAGTCACAGCACAGCATCTGGCCTCTGCTTCTATGTGGCACTACATCCTTTCATTTCTCTGTTCCAGCATTACCCTAATATAACATAACTTGTATTACTCTGTATTCTTTATTTGTTCATTTTTATCCTTGCATATGAATCCTTGCTGCCCATCTTCCTATACATTTACTCTCTTACCCTCTTGCATACCGAATGACAGAAAAGGAGGGTAAATATTTTGTTCTCCACCTGCAGGCAGGCATTTTACTTATTCATTATAAAGTAGATTGGAAATGAAGTGCTTCAGATGAAGCATATTGCTTTTATCGCTGGAGAATGAGGAGAAAAATTCCAATGTGTACACCTCATTCAGGCTCTGAAAGCCTTTTGCTGTGCAGCAAAACGAGTGAAGCATTGCATTCAGTTCAGTAGCCTTGAAGAGTGCGTCGGGAGGATTAAACAAGCTTTTAGGATTCATATAGCTTTCATATAAATTTTACAAAAAAGGAAATAGCAGTGTGGGTTATTTGGTATTGGTGCATCGAGGATAGTGATAGACTAATTTGGGCCAATTATCTGGCATTTTCAGATAATCAGGATTGGCCGACATCTGTGCTCACAAGGCCAATAAATAAAACATGTCTTCAGACACATTTGCAGGCAGCCTTGTCAGTGTGGCGGTTATGCAACAATGTTGGTGCTCTGGTGAATTTTGGGAGAGTGGAGAAAAAAAGTTGGTTTCAAGTGCTGTGCTATAACTTTCAAGCAACCTGCTGTAAACCCATGCCTGAATTTCCTGTAAAACAGACGATATCGGCAACATATATTGGCCATTGGCAACCCAGTTCTCTAAATATTGGCGTCCGCCGTTGAAAATCCGATATCGGTCGACCACTGATCTAGAAGTGGATGATGCACGTGGATGTGGTTGTGTTTTACAAGTTATTGTCTGGAAAAATGCACTGGACAGCCTTAAGTTGAGAGGAAGGTCAGATTTGTGCGTCTCTGCTGTTCATTTCATTACGAGCAAATCAGCAGATACAAAACTAGCATTCAAGCCAGAAAATGAAACTCGAATACCGCTGTGGGACTTAGATAATACATCCGTCACAATACGCAGCCGGCACCTTTTCCCTTTCCTCGAAAATCCATCAAAAGGCTTCAAGTTGAAGTCTTGTATTTGGTGCCTTGGCCTTTTCACCCTTGAAATAATATAAGGGATTTTCTCAGGCTTAGCGTCTTTTCTTTTTCACTATTTGAGGGTAGTTTATCATAGCGATCCGACCTCAGTTTGCCCTTTAGAGAAAAGACTTAGCCAGCTTTCACCCTGCATCATGTTCATGAATGGGGTCAGTCTATAACACATTCACAGGATGAAAAAATAAACAGATATGTGAAATCTTCCTTTTGTTGGCTCAAAAATCCTCTGAACCTGAAGTCATTCCGTGTAATTTTGAGTCACTTTCTCCTCCATCTTCCTATTTCTCTCTCTTTCTCTGCCTCTTTTCTTCCGCCACGCTCTAGTTTTCCTTGGGAGGCAGGCTCATCCCAAATCCAGCCCTCCTACTGAAGTGATTCTTTTGAGTCTAGTGCGAGACAGCACTCAGAACCCCCCTGTAAATCACAGACGTAAAGGGAGGTGAACAACCCACGCTTCCCACCAAAAACATGACACAAATTACAGACCACAACATCTGGTGAGTGGCGTGCACCGAAACCCGGCAGGGCGGACTGCGCACGTACAGCCTCTCAGCCCAGTCGAACTCTTCCTCCTTGTTCACAAAAGTTCTTGCAAGCGGAGGAGTAGAGAACGTCACGAACACCGAGAAGAGTTGCAGAAGAGAACAGACCATCACAGTTCCACACGCGCTGTGATGACCTAATGAGAGATATGATAACACATTCTGCAAAACAGTATTTTCCTTCAACTAGAGGCTTGAACATGAGCAGAGACCTCACATGTTGCATCGCTGTCAGAGCATAACTAGCCAAATAAGATGGTAAGCACGCATGGCAACATTAAAAGAAAGCAGAAGAATGATTGTAAATGGTTTCTAGACAAAAGCACAACCGTTTTATACGACCGCACAGGACTGTGGGTGACTGAAAAACATCTCTGTGGTTCACTAATTTGTTTTTGAAAGCCAGGAGCAGTGAGTTTTATCTGAAAGTTTCCAAAAGCTGCTGAGAGTTACACTGTATCCCTGTGATGTGATGGGGTAATTAAAGTACAGACAGATGTGCCTAAAGCAGGTTATCAACCACTTGTCAACACCAGCGCCAATATTGAGAATCAATGTCACGTGTCAAGTTCCAGTGAGGCCTTCAGGGGACACAGATAAAGGGGGAGGCAGATATTGATCAGGTTGAAGTGTATGTCTGTGTGTGTGTGTTTAAAGTTCTCTATATGATGATGGTCAAGCACACCAATCCTGTTATATTCCTTGTCATTGAATACCTCATATTATGTCAAAATAAGGTGGGTTTTTAAAAAAAGATTATGGGATATTATATTCTAAATGACACATATATATATATATATATATTGTAATGTGATAAATAAAACTTCGGTGAAACTCTTAAGTGTTTGTTCTACTCTAATGGTAACTTTGAGGCTGTAATTTGTGTTACTGTAGCGCTGTGCTCTTATATTTGCAAATTTATGCCGTGTGCAATGGGCTAATACACGATTAAGTTGAAGTTAAGAAGAGATCCTAAGTACTGTAAACAGATACACAGCCCTGGTGTTAAAAAAGAATAACAAGAAGATAACAGAAAACATGTAAAAAATGCACTCTGGAGGGTGACCTCATGCACAACAATGAGTCATTAAAACAACAGTGTCTGAATCAGCTAATTGGACAACAGAGGAGGAGGCACTGCGCCAAGCGACAAGTCACAACCCACAGAGAAACAACAGGAGGGGACAATAATGACAGGGGCTGCACATGAAAGTGCCAAAATCTGTCATTCCAACAACCCGGCCAATTTGCAGGGTGATGCACACACAGTCAGGAGGCACGACACCGACTTGAACCTGAAACTGGCTCCAGGAAACAACAGCAGCAGCAGCAGCAGCAGCAATATGTGGGGTTTAAAAAGTCAACAAGGAAAAATTGAGAATGAAAGTTAGGATATTGCTCTGGAGAGCTCGATTCATTTAACTGTCAGAACCATTCGACCATTGCCACTGAAGAAGAGGTAGAGGGAGATTTATCCTCTAGTAAGGTGGATGGCTCCAATAATGATGACATTTACTCAATAATGCATCTGTTTCAGTGAGTACACACCTGCACAGCTGTCATAGGAATCAACCTCACAACAAAACACTGTCATACAGCTAAAACACTGTTATAGTAGTCGTCTGTGTGGTTCTCATATCCTTCGTTTCAGATGTCAGATAATCTAAAGCATTCCCATTTCATGTAATACTTCTAAAGCGCCCATCTAAAACGTGTCTTTAATGGGTATGCAATTACTTCAAAGCTTATTTTATTAATATTAAAGCTACAAATACAAGCAGCTTGAGTAAACTTCAACCATATTGGACCCTTTAAAGCATCCATGTTAGAAAAAATGAAAAACTGCAGCTGAACACCTATTGATTGGCAAGCAGTGAGATAAGTAACTGACCTCCGCAGCCTTTAATCCACACTCGCCATGCATATTTCAGTATATCTTATATGATATACAGAAAAACTGCTATAGGCGAAGTCCTGTGCAAAGTGGCAGCTATGGGGCCTCCCTGCTTGCTTGTCAGACAGATTCAATGGGCTGTCGGACTTCTCGGCAAACTACAAATTAAAACGTTTCTCGTTGTCTACTCCATCATATTATAGCAGCCCTTAATGAAAATAACACACACACACACAGAACAAGATTTTCCTCAAACTGTGTGTGTGTGTGTGTGTGTGTGTGTGTGTGTGTGTGGGGGAGGGGGGGAAGCAGCAGCGACTGGTCCGTACGTGGACCCAAGTTGTCCCCCCACAGCTATCTCCCCGTTTTAAGTTTGCTTTCCAACAACTTACCGTTTCCCCGGAGAGGAAGACGGTCAGCCCGAGGGTCAAAATTATCCAAACGTTCCTCATTATTCCTCTGTATTAATTAAAAACGCGTTGTTACGAGCGAAATGTCAAATCTTTCCCCCTCTTCTTCTTCTTCTTCTTCTTCTTTCTCCCTCTCGCTTTCCTTGCACCCTCCGCTCCAACTCCTGCCGCTTCTCTCTCTCAGGAGTGGGATCCCACCGGATACGTGTTGCGTTTTGGTTATTCCTCCCCCCGCGGCTCTCTTCTCTCTCTCTCCGGGGGCACTTCTCTCTTTTTTTCCCTGCGCAAATCGGACAAAATACATACAAAACAAAACGCGGTTTTAATTGCGAAGTCCTCCGCGCGCCTTGTGTGTGACAGTGAAATCCGCACGAGACACCTAGCTCTCTCTCTCTCTTTCTCTCTCTCTCTTTCTCTCTCTCTCTCGCTCGCTCTCCCTCAGCGCTCACTTGGAGTAACGAGGACAAAGTGTGTGTGTGTGTGTGTGTGTGTGTGTGTGTGTGGCGAGGCGAGGCACGAGCACGGCTGACGCGCTGCTGAGTGCGTGCGCTCCTTTCGGCCATGTCACCGCGAGACGGAGGGAGAACGTGCGACAAAAGTAGCCCAAAAAGGAAATAGTCAATAGCGCAGCCATTGAAACAAAGTACAGTTTGTTACTTATAGGAAATAGTGATTGTTGTATTGTTTTTTCCTTACGGGGGAGGTCTGATAACAAACTCCCCGAGGTAAAAAAAAAGCCCCACAGCTAATTGAGCCATTTATCTCCACGTGTTAGATAACGCTCATTAATTGCACCCTAATGAGGATTCCACCATTTCAGTCAGCCGCTGCACTAATTTACAATCGAGTGTTTGTTATGCAGCGATGCTATGATGAACACATCTGATTACTCGTTTATTGCTGCTGTTTCAGCGAGTAATGGAATCAATGCAGCACTTTTTGTATCTGTGAGTCAAGCACACAGCATCCTGTTAGAAAATACACCACATAACGGAGATGGAATAGAAACACTATAAGGAGTTATATTAGTTGTATGACTAGGAAGCCCCCCTCCCCTCCCCCTCCCTCCGTCCCACTGAGCTCAGCCATTCATGGGCAAAGTCTCCCCCTGCTGGTATAAATTGATAACCCCCCCCCCCCATTATTATCTACACAGAACACCATGTCATTCATTAAGGTGTGCTTGAAACTAGAGTACCCATAATCTTAGTTTTTGTAAGCTTTATCTTTTATTTTTTCTTGTGCAATTGTGTCATATGTTTGCAAATGTTCCAGGGTTTCTAATCATAGGCTGGATGTTTGAGCGGTTTTAAGTGGGAAATGATTAGGTCATTTGAACTGATTCTGTACAGACCATTAGTAAACTAGAGCCTCCTTGCTAACAGCTGGCAAACTGCCTCACTGTTCAAAGGAACTGATAAGTCAGAAGTGAAATGTCCTGCTGGACGGCTTTCTGAGGGGCAGGGGTGAAAAAGATTTAAAAGAAAAAGGGCAACAGCTGCATGGACTGCATCACTTTTTCTCCACCCATGATCCAAACCCATGGTGTTTCACTTAATGACACACAACGATTAACTGTCCCTTTACGGGTTGATAAAATTCACCTTCTTCTAAATAATTTAGCTTTTTCTGAGCTCATGCAAAGTTGACTTCTCACAGGTAAGCGTCACTACAAACATATGATCTTATACAATATGATGAATTGCTGTAAATTAAACTACCCAACAGTATATAAAATTAGCTCAAACATCTACAGCAGTAAAATGCAGCAGTAATATTAACCAAAAACATCATATGTAATAGTAAATCACAAACAGAGACCACTTTTAGGCAGAATGAGTAGTGCCCTCTCTCCCCTGTTTTCTTTGTAAAGCTCTGCATACAAACCCTATTAGAAGTCTGTAAGCACGCACACATACATATGCTTCACAGTTTCTAAAATGAAGCCTTTTTTTATAGGTTACTTAATGTACAAGTTCACAAAACTAAAATTACAGGTACAAATCATTTTCAAGTACATCTTTTTAAATTATATTTCACTAATAATTATAATCACTTCACCTAAGACGACCATTAGATGGAAGTTAACTTGCGGTGCACTTTAATGTGCAACTAATGCATGATTTGAGAGGCAATTTTGTAATTATTCAATTCATTTTAAAAAGGTGTGATTTTTCCACGGAGCAGCCTTCAGAAAAGGTCCACTGATTACAAGCTTGCCCGCACAATCTTCCACCTCACAGTCAAATTTCCAGATCACTAAAATCCATTCAGAACAGTGGAAAACAGCATTTTCCCAGAACCCTTTGAAAACCACTAATCCCACCCGATAACAGTCTGCCCTTTGTGCAAAGTAAACCCTAAACTCTCCTGATCACAAGTACTGCCAAACTAAATTCCTTCCAGGCACCATCTTAGCCACATATATTGCAGTTCTGCATACAGAACACACTCTGTAGTGTAGAGGAAATCGTGCATTGGTGGTGCCTTACATGTGTATATGCTCTTGCCTTGGTGGTAGACTGAAGCATGCATTAACCTTTAACACTCAGATGGTGAGAGATTTCGGTTCACAGCCAAATTATAAAGTTTTACTAACAAGTGCCAGTGCTGGGATTTCATTTATTTTGAAGAAGAAAAACTTTCAAGAATTTTGAAAGGCATCTTAAATCATCCTGACAGCTGATTAACAAGAATATTTCTGTGTGTACAATGAATCATCAATGTGCTGCTTTTATGCGGAGATATCAACCGGTATTCGCTGTTTGATTTAAAACCAAAACAATTTGTGCTTTTTCAATGGCACTTGACTTTTTCAACTTTTCACAGCAAAGAGGGAATGCAATCAATGGATAAAGACACTCACTAAGTTCACTGTTGTAATGTTTTGAAACCGAGTGTCAGGGACGATATTAGGTGGTGACATCAGGTAAAAGAATGCTCTGTTGAGAGTTGAAAAACTAAAATGAAAGCTCCATTAAAGGGCAATTCAACTACAAGTCAACACAAGTACAAGTACACAAAAGGTAGTTCTATAAAGTTAAAGTAATAGTTTGACATTTTTGGAGACAGCTTAATTTGTTTTCTTGCCAGAGTTGGAGAGACAGATATCAATCTCACATTTATTCCGTAGCAGATATGCACCTGTACAGTAAATATGTAGTTGCAAGCTTAAGTAGGAGTCTGCTTAGCATAAAGACTGAAAATGTGGAAACAGCTCTGTCCAAAGGTTAAAAAAAAAAAATCTGCCTAGTAATATTTCTAAAGCTCACCACACACATTATACATCTTGTTTGTGTAAAAACAATTTTCCAGTCCATGGGGGATTATTTAGGAGGTGGATTTTGTTACCTATGGACAGAGGCAGGCGAGCTGTTTCCAGTCTTTGTGCCATGCTAAGCTAAGGTTAGCAGCTGCTGGCTCCAGCCACATTCCCACACAGATTTTGTGGTATTGATCTTGTCACTTCACTCTTGGCGAGAAAGCCAATAGTGTCCACTGCCACTGTAGCACCTCTTTGATTATTCAGTCAGGCCAGGGAAAAGGACGTGTTAACTGATAAGGCAGGTTTCACTCTGTCAAGTATCTGACTGTTTGCCTGGTATTAGCCACACTGTACTGGAGGAAGAAGACAAGGAGAACAATTGAGGAGACAGAGAGGAAAAGTGAAAGTAGCCATCAGGGGACAAAGACAAGACAGCAGCAAGAAGAGGGGAGAAAGTAATAGGTCCCATTTGGTCTGAACCATTATCTTTGTCCTCATGAAAGTGTCCATCCTCTATGACATCAATAGACAAGTCATAGTCACATAAGTGATAAAAAAAAAACAGGGGAGTGCTTGACGCAATCGTTTTGGGTGTAGAACAGTGTAAATTTAACCCAAGAGCGTTTTTTAAAACTAATTTAAAATATATCTTGTGACCCATCCCCCACCCTAATGCACAAGCTTCCCAGGCCTCCTCCTCCTTCTCCTCCTCCTCAGAGGGCTTAACTCTACTCCTGGTGTCCCAGATTATGCAGCCAATTAGGGCGAAGGCAAAGCCCCTTCTGCTACCAATCCTGGCTAGAGAGTGATGTGCTAGAATGTGTGTGTGTGTATGTGTGAAGAGGCACTAGTTCATGATATTGTTAGCCTGCTGTGAAGCAGCGCAAGAACACAGAATGACTCAGTGGTCTAAAGGGAGGCCTTCAATGATCTAAATAAAAAAAGGTGAACACTGATCTGACAAATAAACTCTGCGTGAAGACTGAATAATTCAATTTCCCACATACATATTATTATCCAACATGAATTATGCATGCAATGTGCTGGACTTCCTACATTTTCATATGAAATGAATATCTTTCAGACTCTGTAGTAAGCGCAGACCTTCAAAGTTGTTATGGATTTCATTATATTTTATTCAACAGCACCACCAGCTGGCAAATAAGACACTGATTTAAATTCAGAAGCAAATCCCAACAAATACTATGTGTGTGATGACAGTCCAGGGAGGTGCTTTTGAAAATGAACCACACATGAGCAGAGTGGAATGAAAACTCAGCCACTACTTTCTCTCTGTTTTTGACCTTGTGGGCTTTGCTGGGGAATGCATTTGCACATGAAGTGTCTGTGTAATGCCAATAAAAATGCACACTCTCACACACACAGTCATTCAGTGTCTGAGGTCCCTGCCTCAATGGTAGCTGCAGAGCTTCCCGTGTTCATGTGGGTGGTGCTGCCATATCTGGCAAGGCCTGTCGACTTGAGGGACGACCTGCTACCTCCGATATGGATGCCAGGACGATCCTCGCTGTTGTTGCTAACGTCACTCCCCGGTTCATGGTCGTCATCTCTGTTGCTTTTCTGTTCTCCATAGGGTATCAGGGTACTGCAGCTGAATTGGCTCAATGGCTTGCCAAGAATCCCAAAGCTGATAGTAAATAAATAAAAAGAGATTGAACATGGAGTAAACTGGATTCACTTTTGTTTGTTTTCCACAACAAGCCATTCTCTCGGTGCAAACTTGGCATAAAAACACCCATGAAATACACACAATATCTGTACATATGTGGAAATGATTATCATTCAGTAGATTAAAGCTCTGGTTAAGTTAAAATGTTCTTTAATACAATATGACACTGGGGAACACAGATAATGGAGTAATGTAGAGTGGATGTGACCGCACATAATCCCAAAAGTGTTCAGTTTTGCCGTATTAAAATGAGTTTGTTTTGAGTAATTCTGCCCCCTAGTGGCCAAAAGTCTCTACTATTTGTCATGGTCGTACACATACAGTGGCGGTTACCATTATTTTGGGTATGGCAGCAGTGAAACAGATACATCATACACTTGATCATATATTCTATGATGTTGTAACCACCTGACACTGGCCAGCTGCTGGTTGAGCTCCTCCGCCAGGGCCTTGGTGTCACAGTGCTTGGCCTGCAGCGCGCTCTGCCTCCTAGCCCGGCTGCCGAGGAACAGATGGGGTGACCGTTCTTTGGGCGAGGGCAGCAGAGATACCATCAGTGGGGATCGCTGATTAACTATACTGCTGAGGGCCGGACGCCTCTGGGACGTTCTGGGGGATAAAGCCAAAGGAGCAAGGGCAAAAGAATGTAATGAATTTATTGTATATAAAACACCCCAGGGAAACGTGAATGCAACAAAAGAGACAGAGGTCAACAAGTGTGTACACATTTCTCTCCAATACAATTTATTTGCTCAAATGAGAGTAAGAAAATAACACAGTTAATCAAACCAAATAGTATAATGCTATCCTCAAGATCCAGGTTCTATTCTCGAACAAACACAAAACATATATAGTCTCTTTTTTTTTTTTTATTATACTTGTTTCAATGTCTGAGAGACAGCTGGAAGCGGTGCTAAAGCTCATCCAAACCATGTCATGTACATCCACCCCGAGGAGGAGAGCAAGCTTCAAGCTCAGCTTTTGATTGTTTGGTCTCAACCTGACAGCAGGAAAGAGCAGTGGGCCTCTGACAGCTTACACAACTGCCAGTCTTGTGTCAGACACAGCAATAAAACATAAAAACCGGCTGTCAGGCCGTCCCTGATATCGGACAAAGCTATGAATCTGTCTACATCAATCATATTCCAGTATGAGGTCTGACATGACATCCATCAAACGCACATAACTTCACTGCCATTAGTTCATTAAGTTATTGTATCTATAATATGTTGACTTGAAGGGAGACTTGTTAAATATATTGCTCGTTAGACAACAAATAATATTAGTTAAATATATAAATAATATTTTTATGTTAACAACGGATCGCATTACCTATTTCTATATGAATGTCCTCACTGGTAGTGGTTAAAAACCTGTTGTATGCTACTTGTCCAGCACCAAAATATCAAAGTTAGGAAGTATCTACTGAACACAGTGTCGCATTTAGTGTTCCTATTGGCAAAAAGTGTGTTCAACGATCATCAACTCAAGGCAACAAATGTGGAAATGTGAAAATGTGACTGCCTCCAAAGGTTATCCGGTACTGAAACTTTACTTACCACTCCAGAGAGCCATTACATATTAAAGCATACTCTCTCAGACTGGCCTGTAGGGGAAGAATTTCCTTATGGGCCATCAAAAATGTATAAGATAAGTTCACAGAGATATGACCCTAAAGAGCAGTGAAATATGTAGTAACTGAAGATGCAAAAACTTTTTGTCAATCAAAAATCCAGCTACTCTTAAAAAAAACATACTGCCGGCCGGTGATGGTATGACACGCCACCTCAACCCAACCTTTACTTCACTTTGGCGTACCTATGCCTGAACGGGCCATTACATCCTGTCTCCTTGGGGTCAGCCTCTCCCGTCTTCACTGAACCATTAACAGTAGCGAAGGTCATTCCTGAGTCTCCATCAGTCCTGTTCTTCACTGCCGTGGTAAAGGTGTCAGAGTAAAAGAGACGCCCCACCTCCTCTTGGATGTCCCTCAGGTCCTTCCTCCCGAACGTCACCCAGGCGACGCAACAGAAGAAGCTGTACAAGCACTATTAAACGGAGGTGGATGGGAAGAAAATGAGGGAGAGTGAAGAGTGTCACCATGCGTTCTTTACACTCAAATTAATTATTTCCTTAATTCATTCGATAGTTAGACATTCATGTATTCTGTTTATGGATTCGTCCCTTAATTCTGACTAAAAACCCAGGTGGCCACTTATTATGCTGTGTTTTTTTAAAAGATCACGACAGCTATTTCTGTCCAAAAAAGGTCACATACAGAGCACGCAATAAGCTGCTGCCGTTAGCGTGATATTTCTCTCCCCCGTCCACCCACCTGGCTAAATACTGAAGAGAGCCTGTCATAGCAAAGCACCTGTGTTGAGTCAACATCTCCTACCACTGACTAATTCATTAAGGCCACCAGGCATAACCAGCACTCAATGTTGTTCTGTTCTGCTCACTGCCGTCTGTATTCACAGATGGTGAACTGGCTTTCACTCTGACAACTGAAGGCTCAATTTTTTCTTTGCAGAAGAGGCAATGTAGTTTTCAATGTTTTCAACAAGCTGGTTTTGCAGGGAGAGAACTTTCAGGTCAGTTACGAGTCAAATTTATCAGATTAAAAAAAAAAAATAGGGGACAAATTAGGATCACTAAACACAACATTCACGATAACCTTACAAACATTCTTATTTGCAATTACGGTGATTAGTACCTTTGTAGCATATTGTAGTATTCTCATTGAACCTACCGCATGTAGCAGCCATTCTGTGCTGTTTGGCGACATCCGGCCCCTGGGAAAACACACAGAGAGCTCGGTATAATGGGGCCAACTGTGATTGGTTGACTTCTACTCATGGATGTTGAGATGATAATTTCAGAACCGGGTCTAACATTTTGGTTCAGAATCTGGGAGTTGTATGACTATATTCCAAACAGATAGCTATATTTCAACAGTATATAACTTTATTGAAAACAAAGGTTTTTAAAGAGAACCCTGAAGACCAATATTTAAAGTCAGAGCTGAGATGCAACTGCTCAACCAGTGCCCATAGTTGATCAAATATAAGTCAGAAAATCAAGAAACAATAAAGAAATAATAAAAAAGAACTGAGAGGGTCAAAAGACATCCAATAATACAGCCTTAAAATCTTCAAAACTAATGAAAGAATGTAGTATGAGACCTTGTCTGTAGTTTAATTCATTCATATACAGTACAGATATATACAGTAAGGTTAAGGAAAGGATATGTTACAACACTTTCATGTATGTATGTACATTGAAACAGTTTTTGGTCACTGTAGTTCTTCCTCCTGCTCATACTGCCCCTAATAAGATCCTTTCTTGATGTGATTCCAATGCAAAATCCACCCTCCTTGTTTGGTTCTGGCCTTTTTCAGTATCAAACTTCCTCATCGTCTTACTGTCCTTCCACTGCATCATGACAAGGAAACGTTTTTTAGGGAAAGCACAGAGTGGAAATCTGGTACTAAAAAGACTAATTTGGAAGATACCTACATGATCTGTCTAAGTCAGACGGCTGAAGTCTCATATTTGCTTCGACTTAACTCCAGAAGGCATTTTTGCACGGAAGAATTTTGTCCTCCATCTCCTACACTTGATTTGCATTGTAAAGCGACCTCTTCAAGGGCACTATGGACAGTCAATGTCGTATCAAGATAGATTTAAAAATCCTGTATGTGATTATTATACTGTACGCTATAGTAACATTCAACATTTACTGTAAGACGTTTAAATGAGAGAAGTGATGTGATGTACAGTAGCTTTGATGAATATCAGAAGATCTTTATCTTTCTTGTTAACTGGAAGGGCCATACAGCTTTGAAATATAAAAAAAAAAAATTTTTTACTGCTACTATAAATGTATAGTATTATATGGCTCTTCACAGATCTTACTTTGGGCTACAGCGTTGGTGATGGCTTTTGTGTCTTACTCCATTCAGATGGCATACAAAGCATACACAGATTCCAGAAATGAACCTAAAATCCTGCCCTTATTTGGGATTTCACACGTAAATGCAATCTTGGCTAAACCTTTTTCAGTGGCTTCCTCAGATCCTCTTGGGAACACGTTCACTGCCGCTATCTTATTGTATGACGAGTGATGCATCCCGGTTACTAGACAACTGTGAAAACACTGCAGAGGATATCATACTTTTTCTGTCTACCACCTGTTCTGAATCTGAACAAATACTCACTTGTAACATGGTGTGTGTTGATGCTGTTCTATCTCCAGGTCCATGATTAGGCTGAAGTAACAGACAGCCAGCTTCTTTTGAGCTATCTCCTTTTTGGCCAAAGCCTTCGCCATCATCCGGTGCTCTGTGAGGATGTCTACACTGGCAGGTTGGGTAGAAAGGGAGAGCGGGTGTAGAAATACAGGACAGAGAAGAAAGAAAAGAAAATGAAATAGATTACACAGACATTGGAGGATACTGCTATAAAAATACCACAACATTACAATAAGAATACTTACGCCATTAAAGGCTTAGGTTTATTCTCCAGAGACTTGTGTTCAAAGAAACAAGTCAGGTAAAGGAGGAGAGCAGTCAGGACTTCGTCAAGCTCTTTACTCCTGGACACAGACAGGCAATTAGAATCAGTGTACGGCTTATCTTACCCATACAGTGTACAACAATGCAGAACTGTATGTATGTATGAAAACATGTCTCTGCCTTCCTTACTTTAATACTTTCAAGAAGCAGAATGGAATGGGAAGCGAATAATTCTCCTGCAGCAAACTGACAGCCACCTCTACAACACAGAGGGCAGAGATCAGAAAAGGGTCAAAGGTCATCTAGAACCACCTAGGTATAGAAACATGATTGATTTTATATTAAGATCAATCATTCATGGATCTTAATTGTATGTTGCACAATGAGATAAACCTCAGTCTTTTTGGACGGGCACTCCAGGCATACCAACGCAAGCTCTCAAGTAGTGTTAGTAATCATAAATGCACACATAACAAACTCCTACTTGTTCGGGAATTACCAGTACAGGAACCAGAGAGGAGCAGCTGACTCAAGTCATGCAATACCATGTAATATTGTTAAGAGTTCAACAACATATTGACACTTGCGTTTAACATCATCAGTGGTGACGTGGTCCCCTGGCCTCTTCATCACTGAGGCCCTGTAAGCATTCAGATGAGCAGGACTCAGGCTCTTCCTGGTGCTTTGGCGCCCTCTTTGGTTCAAGGTACAGATCTCAGCCAACCTGAGGAAACAGCAAAGATGAACATGTGCAGATCAGTCACTAAATATGAAGAGCAAAACATCATAACAATAATAATACATTTTATTTGTAAAGCACTTTTCATAAAAGAATCTCAAAGTGCTACAGAAACCAAGAAACAAAATAATAATAAAAAAACACTAAGAGCAATAACACATTGAAATCAGCAACCAATAATAATACAAGTGATCAAATACATTAAGAAAAACAAAAAATCTAAAGGACAACTGCCTGAACAAGAAAGTTCATGTGCATTTACAAAAAAAGAGGCATCCATCATGGCTCCATTCAATCTGCCATGTGAATAATAATACACACAGCTGAACAACATGAACAGATATTCTTAGAAAAAAGGGCTTTCTGAAACGTGTTGACCCAGGCATTACCACTCTGCTCGCTGATGAAGATCGTTAAAATTCACATTGGTCTGCCTCCTTTTCGTCAAAACACCCTCCTCGGTCGGGCCAGAACTAGGAAACAGAGAAGCTGTTTTACATTGTAGTTTAAAGACGACCCCGCTGGCTGCTAGCAGGTGCAGTATCATCCTAGCTAGTAATGAATTGTGCTCACCTGACAAACTCCACAGTTCGAGCTTCTTCATCCCACACCCAGCGGCCTGGAGCAGGGACACTCACCTGAGAAGGTAAGCTGCTTCTTTAATGTCTAACCTTATGGTGAACTGTAAACATGTATCACTAACGCTGCTAATAAGACGCTAAATGAAGTTTAGCTGCAGCGGTTGTGATAGTTACCGGGTAAAAGTAGAACGATATCGATACATTTTTTAATTACACATTGTCTTTAAAACTGTCTGTGTTAATGTGGGAACTTACTTTTCCCGGCTCCTCGGGATATTTCGGCATTTTCTGTGAGCAGAACTTTCTACAGGTTAGCTTTGCGTTTCTTCCTCTTTGCCAATGTTAGGCACTGTATCCAGGCAACAGCCAATAGGGGAAGAAGTTGGCTCCGTGACGCGTTGTTACGTGACGCTTTTAAATTTAATCTAAACCTCAAAAACACATGTAAGTGATTAAAGTTTGCTATAAACATTACTTATGCTGAGGGTCTCAGAAATATAATATGCTCTGGCCTATATGTGTTGTATATATTGTATATATGTATATATTGTGACAGTAGAACCTTTTACAGTACAGAGTTGTGCAACTTTTTGTTCATGAAGGGTTAATATAAAATGTTTTGTAACTATAACTTAACTATACCATGCTTTTTGTAGGTTACATGACATTTTAGTTCATATGTTCACTTTCTTAAACTTATTGTTTGGAGTTCTGTGATAGACAATTCAATTAATGACACTTTGGGTGACTATTTAATATCCTATCTAGGGGCTATACAAACTCAAAAAGCTCTATATATGTGGGAAAATTACAATTATATGTTTTTGAGTATCATTTTTTTTTTTTTTAGTATCCTCTCTGTTTTAATTTCCATGTTATTGTGTCTGAATTTTATATCTTGCATCACGTTTTCTGTTTTGTTGTAAATACAAGTTGAGTTTTTACTCAAATATTAATATTCATGTATAAAAAATGCCCACAGACATTTTGTTATGAAACAAGTTTTAATTTGTCAATCAGTCAAAACTTTACATGTTACAGTTCTTAGGCTTTATGAAAATGAATGAGTTTAAAACTGTATTTAGAAATTCTCTTGACATTTTATTTCCATGCACCTTCACTTGATGTCTTAAGCATTAAAAAGAATACATCGGCAAAACACGCCCAAATCCTATGTTTGCAATAACGTGCCCATTATCAGGTTTTCTAAGCTCGCTAAATTTACAAGTTAAGATTTAAACGCTCTTTGGAGTGATGAGGTGTACATTTTCGGTTAAGTAATCCAGCCCCCAGGCTCGGTGTCTGTCTGTCAGGGCATCCACTGACTGCAGCAGTTCCATATCACAGCTGTTCCCTGGGGAAAAGAAATGCACCATTAAAAAACCGCAAATTAATCTCAGCCTCTATTGTCTATATCTAACAGGTATCCAAGTATCACTTCCTACAGTAAATTAATTTCATGTATTTCTACGTTTCGTGATTAGGTACAGACACACACTCACCAAACAGGCTGTGTACTTGTTCATCAGGCACAAAGAAGGGAGGACCTGAAAGACAGATAACAAATTGTTTTTTATGTTTCAGCAAAATAACAACCCCCTGCAGACATTTTAAAATCCAAAACAAATGAAAATAAACAGCAGGATATTTCCTTTTGTTCCAAGACCAGGAACGTGTATGACTCTACACAGTTACCTGTATATAATTCAGGATTGTACAACAAAGTGTCCAAAAGGTATCTGCAGTCTTTGGCCATGAGAGACATTATGAGAGCAGCATACCTGTGGTATTGGGAGAGAGAAGGTAGTAAGACAGCATGAAGTATATGTATGGTTTTATTACAAATATGGGTTATATCTAATAAATTACCTAATGTTAATTTCCTAGAATGATTTCAAAATTCTGCATTCAAATTGTCTCAAGACATTTTAATTTCATTTTAGAGTGATTAGGTGTCATGTTTTTCAAATGATGAACATTAAGTTTTAAAATCTAATCTCAAATCAAATCAGATCTCAATGGAGGGTTCAATCAAATCTTACTTTTCTCTGTCTCTTGGGTTGATGGCCACTAGAGATCCCCTGTCCCAAATTGCACCAAACTCTCCCTCAATGGAACTGTGGAAAGGAAAAACAGTTTACCCGTGCAAGTAATTTAATGTCTTTAAAAAAGGGATACAAACATATAGAATGTACATACCTGGAAAAGTTGTACAGGTCACATTGATATAGGGAGATATTTCTCTCTGAGCTCTGAGGAACAAAGACAACATGGATTAACAATTAAGGCCACATCTGTGTGTACATACAGCATGTTTTTTTCCCTCAGTGCATTTGAATCTTTAAGTGTCTCATTAACTTGACTCTAAAAGTGTGTTTTAGTCAATTTTTAGATAGATAGATAGACTTTATTAATCCCCAGAAGGAAATTGGGTTGTCATAGTAGCCACGTACATTAAAATACAATAGAATAAAATACAACAACAGAATAAAATACTTAGTTAGAAAAGATAAAAAAAGATAAATAGGTAGGTAGTAAAAGAGTTGTAGTTGCAAGATGGTGGTAATAGTACTGATGACATGATGGTAGTGTTATTGTTCATAGCAGTATATAATAACAGTATATAATGATAATATTAATATTTATAATAAAATAATAACAATATGTATATATGATATGATGACTGAACAGATATACACGTATACACATAGATATTATACATTAATATTTTAACTAATATGTGCAATGCATAAAACATTTGCACAACCTGAATGGATTTAGTGGTCTTTAGAATAAATGTTAACTGTAAGTATGACATGAGTTATGAGTAAAGAATATGAAAAGCATGTTGAGCTCTCCCTGTTTATGCATATGTATAGTTCACCCACCTTGTAAACCTTTGCTCCAGGTATGGCAGGGACAGGCTCCTCACTGTAGGTCATGTTGTTCTCCTCAAAGAACTGTTTTACAGCCTTTTCAGATATCTCTACCCCGACCACTGAGTGGCCCATGTCAGCCAGCCTGGGATTCACACAGGAAGTAGAAGGAATTTAGGAGTGCGCTGTAGTCATCGCTGAGAAAATGTTTCATTGTATGGTGTTCAAACACAGCAGAAATGATAAGTGAAAGTGTAAACAGCAAATAGGATCTGCCTTATTGGATATGGTATGCTTTTCTCATACCACTTCATGTCTACAGCTTTCCCACAGAGAGGGAAGAAGAAGCGAACTCCTGTCCGTCCGGCGAGAACTTTATCAATGTTGCTCTCCAGCATCCTGTTGAAAACAGCAAAACAAGAGACATTCCCGCGTATGTTCTTCATTGAAAGACACTTAAAAACATGCTCTCTCCGAATGGGGTGGCGATGTTCGGACTGAATCAGCCCAGTTCTCATAGTCCTCAGGCACCTTGCAAACAAGGGATTTTTATGGGATCACTGGAGGGGTGATGTGAATTTTACAGTTAATGTAATGTTGTTAAATCACACATGCATTTGAAAGACTTTTGTTTTCCCTAATTCCTCTGAGGGGCTAAATAAAAGTGGGGCCTTTTACTTGTGCACTTGAGGCTGATGGAAACCAATCCTGTCCGCCTGCCAGCGTTCCTCCCATTCTCCGAGCACCATGACCCGATCCGCCTGTGGTGCCAGCATGCTGGTTATGTTTGCCTGACTCCAACTACTGAGAGATAATAAAGAACAGAGAAATGGAGAGAACAGCATTCGTATGTGTCTGGAGACAGGGGTGAGTACACATGATACACACAGTCACACGTTCCCCCACATAAACACATGTGAAACAGCTGCACTGTGAATGTATGAAATCTCTGAGGGGGGGGAACAAGCCTTTAGAGAGCAGTTAACAAGCTTGTAGGGTTACAAAACCGTGATTCTGCTGACCCCAGAGCATTTGACTTTATTGGTAGATCATTAAAAGAGAATCAGCTGCAGCCAGAACAGGCAGAACTGAGGTCAAAGGTCATGTACATGTATACACAGTAATCCATGCCCTCTAATGTTCAAACACAGAGCAAAAGTGGAAAGTTGCAGCTTTTTCTGTGATTGTATCTGAAGAATAGAACTGGTCCAGCTTGTTAAATAATATGATAATGATAAAAGCGTTGTACTGTCACGTGAGTAACCAAACTGACGTCACGCGGCTTGCATACATAATGCTTGAATAACGTGAGAGGTTTTTATATATATATAAATATATATATATATAAATTAATTAAATAAGACCGATACGCTATGAAGAATAAAATCAATCAATATGAATTCAATAAGTCAGATTATGATCAGAAGCGATTAGACTTGTTGATCATCTCTCTATCGCGCTTACCCAGCAGCAGCCTGGCACACAACCAGCCACAGAACTCTTAAGAGAAACTCGGAATCCCACATATTAGTCAATTGTAAGCAGAGCGTACCTTTCCTGAATGCACACAGCTAATATTTGTTCAGCAACCCAACAGCGGCGGCGTTGATCATGTAACCGTTTTCATCGATACACGGACAAGGTAGATGGGTGGTTAGTGTCCTGGGTTCAGTCTGTCAGGCGACCCTCTGAACGCGCTACCTGTGGTTTGTGTTCGACAGCCGGGGCAGGGGATTGAATAATCATCGCCTGACAGGTAACGCTCGGGGATTAAAATCTCCCATATTAACCGGTTTTACTTCTGGTTTGGGAGGAGCCTGATGCTGCATTCACTAACGTGGGAGATATGGAAGATACCAGCATCCTATTCCTACTTAACAACGTTGCCTCCACTTTTAAATGCTTGCCCCATCGGCCTGGGGAATATTGGGTATTGGGTATCCTCATATATAAGAGCATGCACTCAAACAGGAAAGGAAAAAAAAATCATCTTATGCCAAGTAGGATAAATAGAAATTGCTTTTGTTAGCTGTGTTCTTCTGTGGAGACAAAGGTCTGTGAAAGGGTGCTTGGTAGTTGTTCAAGGATTCAAGGTTTATTGTCATTTACAATGCAAGGTTGTAGAATGAAATTCAGATATAGTTTCCTTTATGGTACCTAAAAAAAAAAATACAAATTGATTAATGAGTCATAAAAAAAGCTAAATGATAGGGCTAATTTGATATCACTCCATAGAACTTGATATCAGACCCCATGTTTTTTTCACACAATGCTGCTGTTGTCACCTCACACTGCTAACACAGTTGCTAACCAAATCCTGTTAATGTATAATTTGCAATAATCATAATCGATGTAGACTCATCTTATTCATCCACCTAGTGCCAGCAAACTAAACTGATCTGGAGGAGAGTAACCTTGAGCATTTATTCTTGGCCTTATTAAAAAGAAAATCTTAACTCAGCAAATGTTATCTTTGTTGTGTGGACTAATTGATTAGTCAGTTGACAGGAAATGAATCAATTGTTCTGATAATCGATTAATCATTGAAGTGATCTTTCTAACAAAAATACCATGCATTCATTGGTTCCAGACCCTTACATTTGAAATATGTGTCCTAAACTATAGCAGTAGTAGTAGTAGTAGTAATAATAATAATAATAATAATAATAATAATGTATGTAGCCCTAATTTCAATTGTCAGAGTTAAGTACAATTTATTTATTTATTTTCAATTATGACATTTTTATTCTTAATGCACTTATTTTTTCTTCTTGTTCTGTAACAGCATGCTGCAACCACATTCAGACTGTGACAGCTGTCACTAATCCTCAGAAAGCCTCTGCACTGTTGCTCAGTGATTAGTCTCGCCTGCCCAGTCTGCCTCTCTCTCCCCTGTTGGTTCGGTTCAGCGCTGCGCTGGAGCCAAGAGACAGACCCACAGATAACACACCCTCCCAAAGCAGTGGGAATCAGAGTGAGGGGAAGGAAGGGAAGGAAGGGAAAGGAGAATGACTGTATCCGGACACAGAGCGGCGCAAGAGTCTCAGAAATGCCTGTTTTCACTGTGTAAATGAGGCGCCCTGTCACTCTCAGCTCTGTTTCCAGTGATATTATCATGTTGCTGCACATTAAACGCCATGACAATTAGGCCGTCACAAGACTCTCTACAGCAACACGACATAAAGTATGTCATAGAAATGAGCTGCTCGTGGTGTATTTTAAAACAACCCAACATTGATTCTTAACACCCAGTTAGCTCTTCGGGCCTCCCATTGCAGATCCTTAATATGTGGAGCTCCTATAGGTGTGTATGTTGCTAAAATAAGAAACCCTGTTACTTAATTGAAATTCAATTTTGAGTTAAAATGCGTTGCATCACCTATTATCATCATTATCAGCCTATACCCGACCCCTCTTGACTCATGGAACCGCTAAAACACAGAAATCCTCCCATGACTGGTGTCCCTCATTCAAACGTGATAATGGTTGCCCGGTGTTAACGGGGATGTATTTGCAACCACACTTTCCGCAAATGTGACAAGGTTGTTATCAGCCACAATAAACAGCGGACAACATTTAAAGGGGCCTTCAGAAATGCGACGCCCCTCCACGCCGGTTCAATTCCTGTGCGTAATTCGGTGTTTCCAAAGCGCTCCAGTTGCGCGGGGTCACATCCAGATGTGTGTGTTTTTCTTTACGGTGCGACGAAGACGTCGAGGAGCCTCTGAACCAATCACTACCGCCCGGGGGCGGGTCGTGTGTGGACTGTTGTGGATATGGAAAATGGACAATTTAACACGCACATTCATCATTCATATCCCGACGGGGGAAACCTGCGCTCGGACGCTGAATTGATTCGCAAATGCCCGGTCGTGGCGTGAAAAGGAAAATTACGAGAGAGGGAAGAACGCGGTACCGCCACCCGGTAAGGGGGAGCTCTGTGTCGGGGAGAAGTCGGAGCGCAGTGGGGATCGTACTGGGTGATTTCTGCTGTCTATGTTTAGAGGCTGTGTTCATTGTTGATGCATCTGACTAATAACCGATGTTTCTGATGAGATTATTGGCTACATTTCCTGCATTCAGAGTTACAGAATATTCCCTATATGGCTCACATGGATCTGATCCTTTGGTCTACAGGCATCAATTTACAATTTGCTCATAAAACTACAACCAAAACGCTTAATTGCCCCCCTCCCGACAAAGCCTGTGGTAACAGCACAGGTTGCGATGGTGAAATTAGGAATATGTTTGTGTAAAGCGCGTTTTTCCACCCTCGGGCAGCCCTGTGTCAGCTCCGGCTGTGTTGTTCGCATGGCGCTCAGCAGCAGCGCACCTTTGTCACTCGCGGTGCTCAGATGTTGAAAGTGTTGGAAGCAGCCCCTCAACGATCAGACGAAAAAAAGGGAAAAAAAAAGGCAAAACTAGAAAACCTTATGTTGCACTGTTGCGACTGTGTGTTGGTAAAAGAACGCCCTAAGGTCACTGATGGCTGAACTCACTGTGTAAGTGCAACAGGGGAACCTTTGGCTTATGATGGGACCACCAGCCTTTAGCCTGTTTGATAGACACAGCCTGTTTCCGTGGATCTGTGTGGCTGTTGGAGCAGCGGGGGAGCGATGATGTGCGGTCCACGGTGCTCTGAATGAGAGAGAGAGAGAGAGAGAGGTGCATGCTGGATAATAGCGGAGGACCGGCGAGTGAGAGATCTGGGGGAAAATTTGGAGGACAGACACGAGGGGGCGGCGGGACACTCCGCCTAAGGTTCTCCTATTATGGACGCGCCCGGTCGGTGCGTATGTTTGCTCTATGTCAGCCGTGTAACTTAATCATATCGGAAGGCTCGTAAATCGAGAGCGGGGTGGAGAAGTTGGTGTTTGGAGCCTCTACAGCTGGTGTCATCGGCGGACCGAGCTGTAGTGGCGCCACCAGAGCAGGACGCTCAACAGTTCAGTGTGCTGATTCTGCTCTGGGAGGGAGGGAGGGAGGGTTGGGGGAGGTGGTGGGGGGGGACTGGAGAGTGTGAACCTCCCAGCCCAGAACTGGATGAACCTGCCGCCACCTGCAAGGGATCTCAGTATCACTCTGTGACAGGTAGGCTCAAAAGGTGGCATGTTTTGACACCGAGACTGCCGCACGTTGGACTGAAGTGGCGTTCAATTGCTGTGGGCTGTTTTCACAGCTTGACTGATGCATTTGTGGACCTAAATAATGAACTGTAATTCTAAAGCTGTTGTTGGTATCTGTGCGTACTCTGGGTGCTTTTTCTAAGCCTTGCACAAACTCTGTGAGCTTTGGGAAAAATCTGCAGCACACATTGAGATCTTTTTTTTTTTCTCCCACTGGACAGATGGGCTGCGGGTTGCACACTACTCTGCTACCATCCAAGAATATTAAATAATGTCGCCACTAGTTCAGCTGTCACACTGTGTGTATAAGTGTGCATAATAGTGGGAAGTAACAGACTTATAACACATTAATCGTAAAGTACGCTGAATGTTAAGTGTTAATATACTTTGTATGCATATTTACTGATGAAGATCAGAGTGAACAGAACACAGAGACAGTGGCAGTATGAGGCATTTGGGGAACAGCAGGTTATGCATATCTAAGAATATTACATGACTTCCTCTTAGGTCCTCCGTCAGGCAGCGCAACAAAATTAAATTCTGAAAATATAAAGTATTCCTTGAGAGCTGTAGGGAATTTCCATTTACTTGAAAGCTAATTTGAAACGCCTGTCTGACACCTTAGTTTTACATTAAAAAGAAATCCACTACAGGCCTGTATCTTATTGATGCAGTCCAAATAAAAAATAAATAAAAAAAGCTTTGTTCTGGCTTGTCTTTCTCTTGGAGGCCTCTCTTGCATTCAAGATATAGTGGCTAATAGCTCAGGAAGGAGCAGAACATTACCTGCTTTCACATCCCACTAAGTGCTCCATGTATTAATGAATCCCAAAGAAACAAACAAGGCTGCCCGGGTTCGTTGCAGCAATTAATTACAAGTCTCTAGTTATTTTTGATGAAAAAAAAAATAGCGACTTCAGTGATCCAAATAAAGTGCTGTCATTATTATGAATGCGCAGAAAAGGCTCTCTGGGGGAGGGTGGATCCTGATGGCAAGCTGTACATGGATTTCATCTGATTTATGAAATGACTTTATTGTAATGGCAACCCCCTCGTCTTAATGGGATTTTGCATTCATGATGGTTCTGTAATACCCTCCGTGGTGATTAAGAGAAGCTCAAATCTTGTCTTTCTGAAGCATTGTCCAGAGGTAGTGGGCATTTCCATAATCAAGGCATTCATTAGAATGGTTGAGAATATCAGTGTGCTATTAACCCTGATGGCCACTGTGCATAGTGATCATGCATACTCATGTACTTTTCACTGTGCTCGTGTAAAAACATGTAGTAATAATCAAGTTTAAGAGTAAAAGAATGGGATTAAAAATAAAAACAATGCATCATTAGTATATAGTACAGTGTTATACATACAAGTAGTGGAGTGGAGTAGAGGAACAGCTTTTGAAATCAATTTATTTTACTCTCAAGATCCTTAATCTTTTCAAGCCATATTCTGCAAAACTGCTTTAATCTCACATGTCAGGGACACTCTACTAATTGAACCCTGTCTGGAATGTGCCCCATTTTCCTTATCCCAGTCAGATCGTATATCATCCCTGCGTTGTCAAGGTCAGATTGTTTATAGGCCGATCTGATCCGAGTACTGCAACAGGAATGCCTCCGGGCCGAAGCTGCAGAGATAAGATGAGTTGCAGGTTGGATGCACTGCGAGCAGGACCAGTTAATAAGGCAGATGGATTTCACTACATGCCGTTTCTGCTGTGTGTGTTGTCAGGTGCACAGCCAGGCACCCTGAACACGAAGCAGTGCACTTGCTGTATCAGTGTCCTCAGTAGGCTTTTCCAGTGCTCGGAGCTGTGTGCCAGTGGTACCTATGTTCTCTATGGTCTCTGTGTGATGCAGCCTGATCTGCACGTTTTTCTGGGACTGTAAACAGCTTTGCCAAATTCAGAGTGCGAGCTTGAACCTCCTAATAACTGTTCCTACCCATCTTCTTCATTCTGTTAATTAGCCCTTGTGGCGTTGGAGAGCAGCATATTGTTGAGACATAATTAATCAACCCGGCTTGTAATTATGCTGGGTTTGGAATGTGAGCGCGGTTGGGAGGCTGGTTGCGTTGCAGGGCGTTCAGCTTGAGGTAAACATCTTATTAACCGTGTCAGAGTCCCTTAGCCCACGTGGAGCAAGTACAGTTTTATTAAGGTGGAGAGGAACGTGCTGTTATCCATTTTATGAATATGGCGTCGTAAAAGAACCAGCACTTGATTAAGTTTATGGTCATTATGGTTCAGAGGTGGTCGAACTAATGGAAAAATACTCCGGTAGCTGCGTGGAGACAGCAGGAGAGAATTTTTTTTTTTTTAAAGAAGCCATTTGTTCAGCATAGACCAAAATGCACATATGCGTGTGTGTGTGTGTGTGTGTGTGTGTGTGTGTGTGTGTGTGTGTGTGTGTGTGTGTGTGTGTGTGTCTGCTTATATATGCGTATGGTGTGTGGGAGTGTTAAAAGCGCCTCGATTTCAAAGGGCAACTAGGTGAGGAGAGAAAATAGAACATGGATCACATCCCGGTTGTAAGCCTTTAATGCAGGTCTGTCAGGGGAGACAACACCTATTTTCTTTATACGCAGCAGGATTTTTACTCTGGCTCCCCACAGACTGACTGATACGACTACAGACAAACCTCATGCTCAGTGACGCCTGCTTAGGTTGTACACAGAAAGAGATATAAATGCAACCCCGCTGTTATGTGGGCATTCACATTTACAGCAATAAAAACACAGTTAATGAGCAAATACACAAGTTCCTGGCTAGACCAGCCCGTCTGGTCACTGTAATGAAGAACCATGCACTAACACAATGGTACCCAAACTGAGGGTTGGGACCCCCAAAGTATTCGCAACAGATAAATTTGAGGGGTCATGAGATGACAAAGTGGGTAGGAAGGCAGAAAATATGTGTATTGTCAACAAAAATATATCCTCATATCCTCAGGCCCTTAAAGGTTTCATCCTTAAGATTTTTCTTGAAATCATACCTTATTCTACTTGGTAGATTTAATTGTAAATGGTAGAGTTCCGCCATTACCACGCTGGGTTCAAGTAGCCTTCACATGCATGAGGGATGTACAGGAAACAATGCAAGATGTAACTCAGCGTAATCTTATCTCATCGATAACGGCTAACCAATGTACTGTTCACTCTCTATACACTGACTCAGAGTTATATCAAGTTACTGCTAATGTAAAACCAAGATTTCCTTCTGCTGCTTCCTAAAGCTTCACATTAAAAGCATCGAACTGGCGAAACACGGGATGACTTTTATTATAAATCGATAACTGTCTTTTTCTGCATTTTCTGACTCAAACTCACTACAGGCCTGTATCTTATTGGTCAAGATATTTGTCCACATGATAAAACAGATCCTGAATCTTCCATATATGACAGTAACTCAAAGTTGTGCAAAGGTCTTGTGCCTTTTGCCTTTTCTGTTGAATTTCAGACAAAGTAGCAGCCAGAGTGTTTACTGCTTCCATAATTAAATACCGCTTACCACTGGTGGCGCCAAATCAACCAGAACTGAAATCTTAGACATTACAAGTTAAAGCCATTAATGAATGAAAAACTGTCTTTGTTTGACCTCCATTCGGTGACCTATGCAACCTGTATTGAGGGGTCACAAGTAGACTAGGGTAGGCAACATTGGAAAGACTAGATAGAGATGGCTAGATTTTGAAAGTAGATACAAACGGAGCTATACATTTTGACTTTCTCTGGCAGGTGGCAGGCAGAGTGCACAGAGGTAGGTAGACAATGAATGATTGGTAGGGCTTATTACAGG